TACTAACCATGACTAGTTGAGTGATAAGAAGCAGCCAAATTATTACAACCTCTAGCAAACATGATTAGATCATTAAGTTTGATTGCAAGTATTATGAACGTATAGGAAAAAGAATTTAGTTTTTTTTTTGTTTGGTTTGAACTGAATCAAATACAAAGCATTTGCGTAGGGGATTTGTAATTACCCCATAATGCCCATTTTTTACGAATATTAAATTCGCTCAAATCAAACGAATGAAGAACTCATAGTCCATGACCACACCTTCCGCGCCTATGGTCGTCGCCTGCCACCCACCACCCATCACGCCCCGCTCACCACTTGCTACTGCAGCAGATAAAAAAAGAAATCAGTAAAGGTAATTTTAATATTGAAGGTTGCAGTTGCAATTTAATTTAAAAGCTTGAACCAATATATAGCTTCCTCATGTGCCATATCTGATTGTCTTCCATCAATTTTATTGATTTCACTGAGAAAAAATATACTTGCGTTGAGAGGAATTCTACAATTGCGAGGGCAGTAAAATCTACATAATGTTTTATATAATTTGTATTTCTTAAACTCATCTTTGTTAAGTAACTCGTTGATCTTATCATATTACTTCTTGAATTAAGTACAATGAATTTTTTATAACAAAATAGAGAGGCATATGAAAGGAAAACTTATTATCTGTATTCCATGTGCAGGTGCTTCGAGATTTTGTAAAGAGTGAGTCTTCTTTTCATGAATTCTCTTCGAACTTTTTAGTTCTCGTCTTTGTTAATATTATTTTCCTTAAGTAGTTTAACTATGCATGTAACTTTGTTAAAAGGGAAATAATGAAATTCTTAAGTATAACTTACTGTTCTAAGCTTAGTTGACAATTGACCTGGAGACTTGCCTGCTGTCAGTTGGTGTGAATCTTTATTGCTTACTCAATTTGATTGAAGGAACAAGATGTGCATTTTCAGAAAAATTGCTAACTATACTTTCCATCAAGGTTGCTACATAGATTCTGGTAAAGTCTATGCTTATTGTAGTTTGCATATCACATGGTGACTAATTTGCAGGTGTAGCAATTTTTGCTGATCAAAATCGTCAATATTTGTCAATGACAAGTGCTATTCTTCTTAGTCTAGTAAGTCGTTCTTTCTAATTGCAAAGTTTTTTCACGATTTGAAAATTTTTAATTTTAGAAGGAATATTGTTTCAGATTAAATAGATTTTTTATTCCTACTTTGTGTTTATGAAATGTTAAGAAAATCTCCTGGTGGTTCTTTTTATTTTTTTCCATTGATTTTTGAAGAATGCTTACGAAAGCGTAGGCCTTTTTCTTAGTACTAAACTAGCATGATAAGCAGCATATTTACAAACTCAGCTGTCTAACTGAGTTTAAAGTCAATTTTCATAAAGAAACTTTAAAGGTGCAACATCTAATTTTTGGTTGTCGACTATTTAACGCAACCTTCCACTTTCTCATTTAGGAGTTGGGATTTGGCAACGTAGTGTTTAGCATTAGTTAATGTGTCTAATTTTTTTTTTTATTTGCGACTTTCAAATTGGCATCGTTAATCTCTATAGTTTATATTAATACATTACCTTTAAAATGTATCATTTTCTTCAAAACTATTTTGAATATTTATTTTCCTATGTTTCAAAATTTGGCATAAATATCTTCAAAATTTAATATTTTATCTTGAAAATTTCATTTAAATTTTAAGATGTATGTGCCATAATTATAAAAAGGTTACGAAGAGAAATGTGATAGGCACCCGATAATTTATTTCCATTTCTAAAAGACCCTAAATTCTTGAATACATGGCATTGCAATTACTTATATTAGTTGAAAGGTGCGAAACTTGTATTAAATAAGATACGTTTTTTAATGAAAGCCATTTTCACATTTTCATTTGCTATCTTTCTGATTGTTTCATTCGAGTGTGCATAAAGATATCATGTTAACCGGTATTAATATGTTTTCAACTTTTCATCATCTCAATTTTTTCCATTGTTGTTGTGAAGGTTCCTTGGATACAAGTGAGTCGATCAAAATCACTGCTCCTTACAGTTCGGCCTGAAGTTTTTGCTACTGCAATGATCATGGGCGCGTATGTTATTCACCATTGCTATTTGTAATTATGCTTCTTAATGCCTGAATTTTAGTTGCATTATTTTTGCATCATCATCATCCTCCTCCTCCACATTATGCCAACTATTTTTTTTTAATATGAATAAATATTTTAATGGCTACCCTTCTCTATTGATATCTCATTGGTCATCTTTCTCAATTTCGAAGTTGCTTCTTTGTAGTTCTCATACTTGAAGAGCGTCTACAGTATAGATCACTTGAAAGCCTTTTTTTATTTATCTTAACTTTGTAGTTACAAGATCAGGTGATGCCGAATACCATACAAATATTTGATAGTCAAGAGAGATGAGGATTTCTTTGTATTTGCATTTGGGTTAATTCATAATCAGTTATTTTTTCTATGATTATATATTTTCATGTATTTTATTATGTGATAAGATTTTACGGGTAATTTGAACTTTTGGTTTGATTGATTCGAAGAACCACAGCCAAAATTAAACAACAAGAGTAATGGGTGCTGAAAGGAGGGGCACTAGGGAGAGAGAGAGAGAAGACCAAAAAGATGAATGAAGATATGTGAGATAGAGTAATCGACAGCCAGGGTTTGAGAAAATCAAATTTCATTTTATCCTCAATTAATTATGTGTTATCTTATATGAGTATATAACTCCTTATATAGACTTTGGTCTCATGATTATTAAAAAAGGAAATAATATCCTGATTAACTATATGAAGATTGTTTAAAACAATTTTATGGACATAATTCTAAACCAGAAAAAAATATCTAATCAATCATGTATTGTAGATAATGGTTGTATATCCTGATTGGACATACGTCATCAACTCAATGTATGAAGAATTCTCATGTACCCATCCAGTTGGGAGAGATGTCAGCAAGTAATGGTGGGTGACAATGGAATTGGAGTTGCAAGCAGTGTAAGAAATGGAATTGGTGTTCTGGCAATAATACAAGACTTCACCTGTAGAGATACTTGTAGGAAATTTGGAGCCTCAAAAATACATTTATAAGGAAACACACCTCAACATGGAAAATGGGATTTAGCATTTATGTTGAGAGGAAAAATAAATTTAAGTAAAATAAGTGCGAGGTTTTTAAAAATATATTAGGCTTTTAGATTGCGGTTGGTAATTTATTATAAGTAGAAAATGTAGTGTCACACCTTTAGCAACATTTTTGTCATTCGTTGTTTCATAAATATCCTCTTTAAAGACGTCTTAATACGCTTTCTTTCCACGTCAAAAAGGATTTTTTTTTTTTGTGAACAAAAAAAAGTGAATTAATCTTTGAGTCAATAGCCACCAATCTTGAAATTCAAATATCAATATAATTTAAATTTGATAGTCACAAATCTTGGCAAATAAAATCAAATCTTATCCAAGATGATTAAAAATTTTTTAACTCTTCACCTAATAATGAGTAGGTGCTATATCAATCACTATACTTGACCTAACTTTTGGGGAATGCATTGAATCTGAGATGTATTATAAAATGATGATTCAAAGTTTTGTTTATAAACTAGGTAAGTGTTCTTAAGTGTTGCCATTGCATTTAAAGGATGGCTTTTTTCAATTGAATGCTCCCTATCACCCCTATTTCTAGGAGGTTTATATAGTTAAGAGTGTACTTTGAAGAATCCTAAGAAGTTAGAAAAAAAAAATTTGCATGAAGAACAATTTGAAGGAATGCCTTCAAATTCCACCTTTTTTAATAAGTAGTCATGAACAATGAAAAAAATCTAAATATCCTTCTTTTAGAGAGTAGTAATGTCCATTTCCAGTAGAATCCTAGTTACAAATGACCTTGAAAGCCTAGCAGTAACATCCAACCTGAAGTTGTTCACGATTAAGCAGTTTAAATTTTATATTATTTTTTTCTCCATTTTTTAATCAGGTTTCGCATATTTTCCAACAACAAAAAGCTGTGGTTTGGTGCTTGGGCTCTCATCATGGAACTAATGAGTTCAAGGCTTGCGTCTAATGGGTATATGGGTGTATGTGAGAATTTGCAATTGAATTTGTTCAAAATCTCAAACAATATATATTGGAAAAATTAATAGCGAACGTTCAAATGACTTTGGATTTTTTGCTCCTTGCTTTTGTATGGCTTTGCTTTCTCAGTTTAGCCCGCGTCAGCTTTTTAGTGCGAGCAGTGTAGTTGATTTGTACCGTTTTGATTGAAAAAGCATCAATGCGTCTTCTTTGAACTAAACGATTGCTTTTTTTTTTCTTTGTATCAGACTCGTACATATCATTCTTTTGGCACTCAACACCTTTGCTGTGCGGACTCTGTCAATACTCTCTGGAGATCAACAGTCGATTCTTGCAAAAAGAGAGAATGCACGGGCAGTCATTATTGTTGCCAGTCAGGTCTGTTTAAAGTTCTTTATAGTTCCAATGCTTCGATTTTGAAAATAAAATCATGACAAGAAGTTCTCCCGGGCCTAAAGGAACCTACTATGGATGATAATCATTGAAACTACATTCTACTCTTAAACTGTATTCTGACAAGTTCTAAGCTCCCAATGTATCAAAGGATAGAGTCTGTGTGATCAGGGAGAAATCATTTTGTGCAGACACCGGATGCAGAACGTCGTCGAGAGACCAATCAGAATATGTCATGTCAGCGGTACCGAGGCATGGTACCGAGCACAGGGGTGACGTGACACATTCTGGTTGGTTTCCATATGGCATTCGGCGTCCGCACAAAATAATTAATCGTGATTGGGACATATAACGTGATTAGCTTTTGTTGTTAATTTCTAAATCATCTTTTCAATTAATCTCCATTCAGTTCAATCTTAATTCTACTTGGAGATCCCTTCTGTCTATTAGAACGAAAATAGTATTCAGTAGGTGTTATTCCCCTAAAAATTGAGATCAAACACGAAAAGCCTGATAGAGAGAAATCGACTGCCTTATTTGCACAATCTCGCTTCTTCTTCTTCTTCTTCTTCTTCTTCTCTCTGTGCACATAAAACTGTAATCTCA